AAATGTTCCATGACAAATGTTTTAGCACGATCCCCAGTCCTTTCCCCCGACAGCCCCAAATGGCAAATGTCAATGGGTTTGTCACTTCCTTTCGAAACAGAAATTCAATAGGTCTAGAATTTATGTCTCCGACAGCAGCCGTTGACAGTCATTTTGAATATAACAAATTCATTAATTAAACTCTGGATTTGTTATTGAAAAATAAAAACAAAATAGAACACTTTTGTTTGAGTAACGAGCTTAGTGACAGCAGCAGATTTCAATAAATACATATTTAAATCCGATTTGCCATGAAATATAGGAAATACTAGAGTATTAAAAAGATTTTAAAAAAAAATTGTTCTGTGGTTTCTGAAAAATAATATGTTATAAGGAAAAAACAAATTAAAATTAATTACTAAAAATCGATTTAGAAACATGAAATTAAAGTTTTGTCATTAACCACACCACCAAAATCACAATAAAAATAGCAATATTCTTAAAAAAAAACTGTGTATGATACTTTCTAATACCAAAATCAAAACTATATTCAGCAAAACACGAAAAAGATTTAAAGACTATTTGATCTCTACTATTTAATTGTTTTGTTTTCAATATTCTGTGCCACAACTGAAAAACAGAGCATTCAAGAATTCAGACAATTCAGGCACGTTTTGCAATTGCTTTGCAAATTTAAGGCACATTTATTTATATGAATCAAATGGCGCGCCGCGCCCAAAGCGACGGATTTGATTGAAAAAAGCCGAATCGAAAAAGTAAAGCTCGAATCAAAAACAGTAAACAAATATAAATTTCATTCACAGCGGCGGAATAGCCGTTGGTCCATCCATATAAATTTGATTTTTATGCATTGCATCAATTAAATGGGAAAATGAAAAGTAAACAGAAGCAAAAACAACAAGAGAGAACGCTATAGTCGGGTGCCCCGACTATCAGATACCCGTTACTCAGCTAAAGGGAGTGCGAAAGAGATGGAGAAAAACTTTGATCCGCCGTAACTTTTTAACGAATGGTCCGATTTAAAAAATTTCTTCTACATTTCGATAGGTATTGATAAACACAATAAAACTGCATTTTTACTTTTCCAAAATATTGAAATTTTTAAAATCGTATATAAGCGATTGTGGGCGTTGGAGGGGGCGTGGCACCCTTTTGAAACAAACTTGCGCTGCGTAGGAACACCTAGAATCTGCATGCAAAATGTCAATCTTCTAGCTTTTATAGTTTCCGAGATCTCAGCGTTCATACAGACAGACAGACAGACAGACAGACAGACAGACAGACAGACGGACAGACAGACGGACAGACGGACATGGCTAGATCGACTCGGCTAGTGACCCTGATCAAGAATATATATACTTTATGGGGTCGGAAACGCTTCCTTCTAGCTGTTACATACTTTTGCACGAATCTAGTATACCCTTTTACTCTACGAGTAACGGGTATAATAACTGCCATTCAGCAGATAAACAAACCGCAGCACATACCGTCGTCTAGCCGGGACTTCAACCGCCTTTTGGGGTTAGTAGGGGGTGATGATGTATGTATATAGTGGGCTCGAGACCCAAAAATGCATTTTATTCAGCTGCCTGGCAGCGACAACGAAATCGTTTGAATTTTTTCCTCATTTAAACGAAATTCGCATTTTCCTGTCAAGCCGGTTTTCCATCGTTTTTCCTCGCTTTGCCGCCGACTTTTCATTATTGGACCACACCAGCATGTGCTGTTGCCATTTGGCAAGCCAAACAACTTGCAACCAATGCGGCGACTTTGCTATTTTTAGCAGCTGCAACAAAAAGCCGTCGAAACATTGCTGACCAGAGATACTTGGTTTGGAAGTACCTTCCGTCATTTTCCGTAGGAACAACAACAGGCCCGAGCAAAAAAGTGAGCAAAAATTAAAAAGTAAATCTTTTTTGCTTTCCTCGAGCTTTGCATATTCAACAGCTCAACAACTCAGCAACAGCAGTCTGGGAACGCCGACAGTTGGATGGCAAAATTTTTAAGCTGCAATCGGTTTGGAAAACTGAGCGGCGAAAATGCCATTTGTTATTTAAATGAAGCTGCTTAAAAGGGAATATTTTCGCTCTTGTACTTTTAGTTTAAGAGCCCAATGAATTTGTTTATTATGGAGATGATTTGGGGGCAACATAACCCCTAAATGGAAAACAAGAAAATGGCTAAAAGAAAAGTTTTTCAAAAGCGGAAAAAAAACATAAATTTATATAGCTTCTTAAATTTATATTAATTTAAAAACTGAAGAGGCTAACAAATAACGTTATTTAAAAAGCAATAGTTTTTTTTACAAGGTATTACAAAGCACATGCTATAAAATTCACAATAAGTCTTCTTTGGAAGTGAATGGCATTAGCTCATTTATTGTATTTCAATAGCTTCAAAAGGTAATTACAGGCTTGTCTTTATTTTGGCCAATCGAGAAATCAAAACATTATAATGTCGATTCTTTATGGCTCTTAAGCTAATTAGCATTTGAAGTTGAATTCCAGTCGGAAGCAATGAGGTGGGTGTGTAAGCTTTAAACTCTTCCAACAGGTTGATTAACCTTTAGTTTTTGAATGTTAAGGTCGAGAAGCATTTATGAAATTTCATTTTAATAAGTATAGTAATTTATAAAATCTCCAAATAAGTTCATCATGGGTCATGTATGAAAACAGAACTTTAAAATACATTTTTAATTCTTTTGTTAGTGCGATTTATGTGTTTACCTCACCGGGGACCTGGGACTGGTTCGACTGAAGACCCTGATTATCATGCCCATAGCCGTGTCCATAACCATAGACATAGATTTAGTCATAGCTTTGGCTATGCATGCGATTGCGCTTTTTATTGGCCCCAAGGCGCATTCGAAAATATTTACATTTTAGTTCAGACAATTTATGATTGTGTAATAATATTGAAGGCTGAAAATTATAATCGTCCGAGTCCGAAAAACTGTAAGTACGTAGACGAAGGGGGGCGGAGAACGACTAGCAGCAAAATGATGTTGCACTTTTTCTGATTTCGTCGAGTTGCGTATTTGAAATTTGCATAATTTGCAATTTGAGCCCAGTCATGCGTCTTAAATGAGCCAACGAAAGAAGAAAAAGTCAGCCGTTACCGCTAAATGGAAGAAATTCCCAAGGTTAAATTGGAAATTCTATTTTCCCCTCTTTCTCCGGCGCTGAAATGCAGTTCACCTTAGGGTGAATGTGAATTCTCTGGGCAAATGCTTCAACCTTGGCGGTAATTTCCTTGTCGGATGGAAAACGCAGGTGGGAAGGGGCTGGCCAGATAATTGCAGCACTTTCACCCCTCAACAATGACCTACATTAAAGTTGAGGAAATGCATTTGCCACCGAGAAGCTCCAAGCGAAATCAAATAATTGCAGCGGCGTCACATGGCGTATGAGTAATTTAAATGAAATTACAAAGTCGCCGCAACTGACTAACCTCCAAAAAAATAATAGCAACAATAAGTGTATCGCAATTGCAATTCAAAACAAGTTCATTGCACATGCGCACCAACATTAGAAGCAGCAACAAAAAACAGAAAAAACCTAAGCTAACCGAATATTTTATACACTTTCTAAGTACTAAATAAGATAAGGATCCGATCAAGAATTCGTATAAAGTCTTCATTTGTAAGTCCTTTGCTTTCTTACGAAATAAACTATTCAAAGTTTTGGTTTGTTTGAAAATACCAGGTAAAACTGCTATTCTTCTGGTATTTGCAGATATAGACCTTCATCAAAACTACACTTTAAAAATATTTATAAAATACGTTTTCTACATTTTGAAGTAAACGATAGAATGTGTCAGTTAGACGGAAATTGAATGCTTATGAAATTATCCTTTTTGGATAAACCATGTATCTAAGCATCGTAAAATAAACGCACACTTGGAAAAAAACGGAAATAAGCCAAACGCCTCAAGCAGGTTTTAAAAACAAACAAGTTTATTGCAGCACATGTGGTCGCGAGAGAGAGAAGAGAGTAAGTGAGAGAGCTAAAGACGCAGCTGCGACTGCGCTGCGATCGAAAAACATAATGCCGACGTCGCACAGTGGCTGCAAATGCCACAAAAACATGCGCGCTGACTATCTATTCAGTTATGCGAAATTGAATTATAACAAAAAAATTAGATGTATCATTTTTCTAGGTCAAGCTTTCGAAGAATTTAAAACTATTAATTTTTAAAGCTGTGCATAAATAGATCATTTTTTTCCAGGGACCGTAATCATTATAAGTGATATAATAAAAATCAATATTTAATGATTATTTATTGATTTTTATAAATTGTACTCCATTTTAATAATTACTTGTTGAGTTTTTTTCAATCGCTCAAAGAATAATTATTATTATTGTGAGCGAAAAATATATCGATTAAAAAATAATGATTATTTTTTGAGCGTTATTTTTTCGCTCAAAATATCGCTCTTCCATATATATAAAAAACTATTTTTTAAACTACTGAGAAAGGAGATAACACAGATAACAATCACAATAATAATAATTATTCTTTGAGCGATTGAAAAAAAACTCAACAAATAATTATTAAAATGGAGTAAAATGTATAAAACTCAAGAAGTAAAAGATCATTGCGGATATGGATAGAGCACACAAATAGTAGCCGATTGGTATAATTCGTTTGTTTGTACGGCTTTTCCAAGTGGATGATTTTTTTGCTTGAAAAATACATCGATAATCATTATTTACGGTCCCTGTTTTTTTCATAAAATCCTTGTGTAGACCTACAGCTAGATTCAGATTCTGCACACCAAAATCAATTGAGGATCATTTATCAATGTGTAACGTTAAAAATATACGATCACTTCATTTGGTTCAATAGCTCTGAATTTTGCAACGAAAAACTCAAATGGACCCACTGTGCGTCGGCAGCGATCAGCTCGGTTCGTTCGGTTTTCGGCTCTCCACTTTCTGAATTTTTTTTTTCCACAAACGTAGAAATTTCGTTCGATTCGATCAGTTCAAGTTTTCCATTTGCACCGATCGCACGCCCAGGAGGTCCGCTCCGCTCCCCAAAACAAAAATCAGCTGAATAAAAACACAACTGAGAGTCCGCGCCAAACGAAAACGAAACAAAATAAAGTAACGCGCGCGCGCTCAAAAGTCTGTGCTTAATAATAAGATATACCCATGTGGAGCATCAACGATAATAATGTAAAAATTATTTTTAAAATATGATTAAGTTGTGCGCGACTGTGCGAGGCCGAAAATTGCAGTCTGATAATTATTTTTCTGCACTCATTTTCCGATTGTCCGTTGCATTTCGGCCATTAGCGTCCGTTGCTCTGGCTGTAGTAATAAATTGAATTGTTTAAAATCTCACAAAAGTCCATAAATTCCTTAATAACTGTCTGCAGTTGCAGTTATTTGTGAGAGTCTTTCAGTCTAAAGAGCTTACGAGTTGAAAGGGAAATTTCTCTACAGATAATCCGAATTCAACTGTAAATACCATTTTTTAAATTATTGAAAACGGTTTTTATTTCAACCAATCTGGTTTAAATAAATTCATAAATTAAAATGTTTGTGTCATAATACTAAAAAGATTATTTGAATTAATAAAAACACAAGATGTAGATTTTCTGTGAGTAATGTTATTTTTTATGATAAATTGAGGAGTACAATTTCCTTTTGTGAGTGTACGAAAGTAATTATAAGGAAATTAAAAAATTGTATTATTTTTAATCACAAAAATATCTGCAGAATCAAAACGTTTGTAATTGTGCGCGAGTGCTGTTTTAAATCCAAGCCAAAGTGTCAATACTGTGAAATCAATACGAATGAGAAATGTGACTAACCAACCGAAGGAAAACCAATTGTGCTAAACTTCGAAAAGAGACAACAAATTATAGAAAGGTAAAGCTTCCAAAATGTGATGCAATAATTAATGGCTGCGCTTGCATTTTTTTGACAAGCTTGGCTTAAAATTATCTCTCTCTGCTTCTCTTTTGCTATTCTGTTTTGCGATTGTTTTAGGCGCGGCTTGCGGTTTTTTTTCCAGATTCTTTGTGCAGTGAACGGTTTTTATTTTAGTCGGTTGGTTTTAGTTTACCGTTTGTATCGGCATTATTGCCCCACAGCCACTCGGCCATTTCCTTTGTTCTTAACTTTTTCAGGCTTTCATTTTTAGAGGCGAAACACAGCACAAATTATTTATATTATGTTCTTCGGCATTTTCGCCTGCCTGCAGGTCATGACATTCGTGTAATATCTTTTTGTTACTGCTTATTACAATGACAAAAGTAACCAAGAAAAAATATAAAAAACAGCTGACCACCACAAAAGAAACCAAAGAAAAAACTTGGCCAACAATGACGAATACGACAGACAAAAAAAACGAAAGACCTACGCCTAATTTAAGGTCATCAGCACAATAAAACAACAACAATGACAGTAACCACCGTCGGCAAAGAAGAAGCAGCACTAACTGCTTATGGCTACGAAAAAAAGTTGAAGTCGCCAGTTTCTCTGATTTTTTTTTGGATTTTCTGATTTTGTCTATGGCCCTTCCATGCCATTTGTGTGGAGAATTAAAAGGCAACGGTAGATAAAAAAGTAATGATCGCACACATACGTACGGCCCAAATACAGTTGCTTTCCCCTCCCAAAAGCTCATTTGCCTTCATGGCCTGACCCGCAAAAAGTGGCCACATCGTAAATGAAAAGAAAACCCCCACAAAACTGCAGACGACATTTTTCGAGCTAGCCAAATTTAATTATCGACCGAAACTTTTCATTAAAAATTATAATAATAATTTCAACCGAGTTACAAATAAAGAAAAAATAAATTTATTGAAAATATCAATTCACCTGTGTAAATTTGTTGAAATTTTCTAAACGGAAACCACTCAAAATAATATGCTCCCTAAGAGGAAAATAGAAAACTATGTAAATCTAAATTTATATAGATGCAAACCAGTTCCAAAATCTTGCAGTTCGATTCGCAGACTGTTTGGCGACTGCAGCAGCTTCTCTCTTTGATTTTCACGGCGAGAAAAGTGGAAAAGAGAAAAGCATCCACTTTAGATAATCGATGGCTCAGGTCTTCTCAGTGTGCGCTTGTTTATGTTTTTTATAAATAGCACAAAAAATGCGTAAAATGAGCAGGCGAAAACAGATTATAATTAGAATAAATGCTAAGCCCAAACATTGACATATACTGAATACTAGGCGTGCAGAAAATAAATCTCAGCACAATTCCCAATTTAAGCCAAACTGTGGTATTTCGGAAATAGAAAAATATATTTCCGATCAATTGCGACGCAAAATTAATAGCTAAAGTGTGATACGCTCCATCAAAACTTGATAGCATAATTAATGCGGATTAACTTTTCAGTTTCTATTTAGACGCAACTCAGCAAAATGCCGCACAAAGCGTTGATACAATATTTATTGACAAAGCCATTTATCACGATGTCCGCAAGGTGTGCATAAATTTCGGGCCACGTGATGTCGGCCGACTTCTAGATAGTGAAACTAAATAAAATTCTATACTATTTTAGTGGGGGCGCTGTGCTACGTAGTTTTCTCCGCAAAAAACTGGGGGTGGCCCACGTTAGGTGCAATTGACTATGCAAATCAATTAAAACTGTCAGGAAACGGCGAAAAGAAAATGGCAAAATTAAAATAAGAAGAAAGGGGAGAAAATGGAAAACGAAGTGCAAATAAAATGACTTAATAATTTAAAATCCAACACGGAAATGCAAATTCCCACAGAGTATCTACGCACAGCCGCGTCTGGTTTTTTACTTTTATTGATTTTAAGTGACAGCTCCATACCCATTCGATGTTGAACGAGGAAGTCTCTGAGTCACTTAGCCGTTGTTATTATTACGGCAGACGAAAGGAGGCTTGTCACAGGACAGAATATTTTAATCTGGCCTGCTCAATAATTAAACTTGTACATATATTTTTTATGGGCTGCTCTTTTGTCATGTTGTCTTTTCGTGTGATTTATTTATGGGCTTTTGTTTGCCGCTGCTCACTGTACCTGACTTCGCTGAATTCTACTTGGCCCAGACAAAGAGGCTTACTGTTATTTGTTTGCTCAAGTTGGCGTGAAAAAGTGTCATAATTACACAAATAAATATAAATCTATAGATATTTATAAATGCATATGTACCTACCTACCTGTGCGCCGAAATTCGAACAAAGGCACTTGAGATGTCCATCCGATCGTTCAGTTACTCGAGACAATAAGTACCCTCCATCCCCTATAAACATACTTTTGATTTACTGTCGACAATCGATGATTTAATAAATACCAATATTTAAGTATCGCGGAGAGCGTTCATAAAATTTTTATTACACATTTTCGGTTCTGGTCGCCCAAAGTGTGCCAAATTTTTCGAAAGCAGCTGCCAAGAAACTTTTCCGGCAATATGCTCAATAAATTCTATATATACTTTAGGGTTGGATAGATAAGACCAATTAAATAAAATACGCCTTTGGATTTGGACCAGTAAAATGAAACAATTTTGGGAAATAGGTAAAATGTACAACATTTTAAAACACACTTTTACAATGATTTTAAAGGATCAATTTATTTGTATTTTTAAAACTGGAACTAGAATATGTAGATCCGCAATCAATACAAAAATTATAAGGTGTTCCTTATGGCTCCCAAAAATCACTTCCACTTCCTGAGTGTCACGCCTACACATCTATCGAGTCTCTAGATCATTAATCAAGCAACTGCACTCATAACCCATTCAAATCATCGGGCGCTGCGTTATTAAAGGCGATTCTGATTTGCATATTGATTGCCGCCGGCAGGTGATTTTATTTTTATAGTCTTCCCATTCTGGGGACTATCGGGGCGTGAGGCCCACCCATGTGATTCGGTTCCGTCTTTGGCTTGTTTCGGAGCACTTGTAATTTGTTTACGCATACCCGCTGTTCTCCAAGCTGTTCACATTTTGCGGAACACAAAGTTGACGATTAATTGGGTCTGATTGAGCGAGTAGTTGCGCGGGAGACAGTGAATTCCGAATCCGAACTGGTTTCCCAACAAAGGCGACTCTACTTCCGCCATGGTAAGATACTTTTGTTTTGCTTCCAGTGCGGCAAATAATTATCGAGGCTCGAGAAAACCACAGTCGTCAGAACACTTTAATTGTTGACCGGCTCGAGAGCACAAAAGATACAGATACAGATACCGGGAAAGAGCCGGACTCGGATACCAAGAGCATGTCAGCATTCTTTCTGCGGTTCACACACAAATCGGCTCAAGTGTCACGGTTACGGATTATGTCATTCCATGTCGCCATATCAACCCGGCAATGTCCGCTCTCTGGTTACAAGTGCCCAATCCCCCGACTCGTTTGTCAGTCGGCGGCTTTTGAGTATCATGATTTCGATTCTAAGGCGGATTTATAGTTTTGTCGCTTGTTTATTAATGCTTGTAGACTAAACAGCGGGGTTACAGGTGTGATCAGACTCATGGAGACATCTCAAGATATGTTCCCCAGTCAACAACAAACATTATTGGTCCCTGTTGTTTACTATTTATATAATACTCAATTATCAGCGGCTATTTGTGATACCTGCTTGTTACTTTGTGGAAAAAATCGTTAAATTTGAGTTGGTCTTTAGCTATACAAATTTGTTATTACGTGTGCCTTTCTGGAATTCATATATTTTATATGGCTTACGTGTTCTGTTTAGCCAAGTGGCTGTATTTCATTCTAAAAATTCCGAAAGATTATATTCTTGTGTCATCGAACGGGCATCTTTTTTTGTTTGCAAACAACTTTATTTTCGAGTTTTTTCCGTGGATGTTTATTGTGATTGTATTGAATTACTTCTGGGAGCGGAGGTATCTGTAACTTGAAAGTGAGGCTTGTGTTTCTGGGAATGCTTATCTGAGCGGCAACTTTCGGGGAGCAATTACTTTTATCTGGTAGATACGGGAAAAAATAGGGTAACGATCAGTGGCGGATCTAGGATTTTGTTGTGGGGTGTGATAAGAACAATTTTTTTGTTGTATACTTTTTGAATACCAAAATTTCTTTCATTTTTCATCCGAGTGAGTGGTGATATATCACCCATATCACCTTCCGTGGATCCGCGCATGGTAATGATACTTTTGACTATTAATGTATTTATATTGGCAGTAATATTTCGGACCGTATTTCAAAAACTAAAATTTAAAAATATTATTTTCACAGCTTTTTGAATGGAAATTAATGTTTGAAATTGGTTGGAGAGTGTAACATCAAATGCGGAAGAGGCTTGAAAAGTCAAGTTACTTTCATAACGGACTGAGTTCAAAGGAGTGTCTTGCAGGGACTGAAGAAATAAATAAATATGAAGGAATAGCGATAACGTTTCGCCAAGAGACCGCCGTGACCATCGGACACCCGCTCTAAGTCCGGACCAACGACCCAACCCATTTTCGCCGGCTCGCACTTATAGAAGCCCAGAAACGAAACGCAGAACACTCCCACGCCCTCGCCTGCATCACGATGGTAATGGTATAGGGGGCCCCACCCAACGCCCTGCATTAGGTGTGCAAGCCCGGCCAGGTGTAAACAGGTTAGTTAGTGATCGAATGGACAGGCGGGAATTCGCCGGCGAGCAAACGCGTATGGGCAATGCGAGCAGAGTCTATTAATAAAGCCGCAGGCCGTCTTGTCATGTGAAACTGGGCTCAAATAAACAGCCGGGCTGCTGCTGATGCAATTGTTTATGGCGATTCCGAAAAGGAAATTCGAGCGATTGGGCAAACAGAACGCAGACCGAGAGCCACTCGTTTCTAGCAGATATGTGAGCCAAAACTGTCGACCACTTAGCACTTTGGCTAATGACAACGCCCGCTAAAACGGTAGCACATGCAGATACATTTGTCTCTTGGCCGCACACGTAGATACACATGTCACACTCGACGGTTCAACGACTCCCAGCGACCAGTTTTGTTTTCATTTCGAAAAGGAGCGCAAGAAAGGGAATTAATTATTCCAAAAGTGTGATTTATGGGCTCGAATTCGCGACAGCTGACAACCCTAGCACTACTGAGGGTGCTCGACATTTGGCTGGGAATTGGCTTGGAATTCGGCTGCTGTCGCACATGATATCGCAATTTATGAACCTAAGACGATTATTAGCGAGTTATTTGTTCAACCGGTTTGCCTAATAAGCAATTGCCAGCTGCTTACGCAGATCATGATTATTCAAAGGGGAGGGAACGAGTGGAATGCACATTTCAAAATTCTCATTTCTGCCCGTTTTCCCTTTCATCTGGGCAAACGGTTTCGCTTTCCCACCCCCGACGAGATGTTTGCGGCATTTATGTAGCAAATTGCTTCAACACAACGTCGGACATATCGCTTACATGCCGTGCACACGCGATGTATCCGCCAATCGTCGTGTGTAGATACATTTGTATCTGTACCTCCCAGTGTCCATTGTTGCGCCGTCTGAGTGGTTTATTTATATCGTGTTGCTCTTGTTTCGCTGCTGTTTCTGTTTCAGTTGCATTTTGTCTCCTCTGCCCGTTCGCATTTCATTCCATTTCATTTGGCCCCATAACGCGTCTGCACCTACCAGTCAACGTGTGTATCTGCGAGATACATTTGCTGCCGGTCGGTTTCTATCGAAATCGAAAGTGCACTTTTACGTGCCCGCAGCCCAGTCGAAATGCACTGCTGTCAAGGTTATTATTCTAGGGATCGTGAAAATATGAAACCCAGGGTTCCTTGAATCTCTTGGTGAATATTAATTACATATGATTTTGAAAGGGTGGCCAATATTTTTCATGTAATGCAATTTTAGGTGCTTGCGTTCAATTGAAAACGAAAGTATGGTTTTAGATATGCTGCTGCCATAATGACATTTCTATAGAAAATTATGGTTCAAAAACGTACCCATTTTTAAAAGATTGTAAATGGTTGATCTTAACTTTTTTTTAAGAAGTAATAATTATAATCAACAATAATGTGAATTGTTATTCTGGTTATTCTGATGAAACCGAAATTTAAGCGAACGTCAATCCCGTTTACGTATTTATTTAACACAATCAATCCCGTATTATCGTAGGTATAATTCTTAGGATTTCCCAATCATAAAGCCAAATCCTCAAGATTAGTCCCATCAAGTGGGCCATAAATCAATGTCGGTGGACAGTTTTACCTACTCGAATGGCTGGCCAAAGTTTCGCTTTAACTCAGCCGTATTTCCCATACCTTGCCCCTTTAAACTTCCTGTGATGCTATAATCTATTCTCGGCGCTCGTTTTATTTACCACAGCGTATAAACATAGACTATGGAAAATTTTCACACTTGAGCACATCAAAGTTTATCAACATTTTCACTGGACCTTGCCATGCACTGCAAATTGCAGCTGCAGCCTCAACCATGTGACAGTTGGCCTCGTCATCGAGTGTTTTATGGGCTCTTGTCTGCGGCATTTCCATCTGAATACGGAGAGGCGATCCGATACCCCCCAAAGAGGTATTTATAAGTCTGTGCTCTCGTGCGCCTTTCTGCGTCCTTATCAGCCGCAACTCCGCTTATCACGTGCTGTAGTTTTCCGTTCTTCTGGGAGTTCCATGGAAAATTTTGTTACACAGAGATTGCACTCGATTTTCCAGAAAAAATGAATAACAGAGTAATTAAATAAAATCAATAAGAATTTTAGTAATTTAAAGATCAGAATAATGATCTACGTTGCTGTACATTATAATTATAACTCTGATAAATATAGTTTTTTATTTTCCTCTTAGGGAGCATATTTTCCCTTCAGAAATTGTCAACAAATTTTCAGATATTTTCAATTTCAAGTCCTTATATCTTGCTAAATACTCAAAGTATAAGAAGGATACTTTTTCATTGCTAAAATAAATTAAAAATTAATTTTTCGTTCAGCCCATAAATTTTATTACTTTTCTTTCCGCCCCAAAAGTGCTAGCTAAATTTATTAAGGGATCCACAGCCCGCGACCAGTTTATACGCTTGACTCGCCATGACATTGACACACTAAGACTTTTAATACGGACTTTGGCTGCAGGTCTTTGGATTTATTTATTTATGCGCGCATTGCACAATTGATCAGGCGACAGCCAAATAGATAATAGACTCCTCAATGGATTATTAATATGGGCCATAAATTATGGAATGGATCCCACCTTCGCGGCCCAATGGAGACCGTGTGGAGAGCCGAGAGCCAAGACCTAGACCTAGACCCCATCGCCAACCAAAACCCGAAGCGAGACCCCGATCCAGACCAAGTCCAAGACCTAGACCCGTGACTTATGTACGTGCCTGGCCGTCAAGCGTGAACTCCAATCCATTCCAGTCCAGCGGAACCTGCACTTGATTCGAGTCGAGTTGGACTTACAGTGTAAGCGCCTTGAGCTCGACCGGTTGTGGTCAGTTTCGAGTTCCCGCTCTGCTCACTTATCGAGCGGACAAGGTTGGCTTTTTTCCATCACAAAGCTACCCGTATATTCAAATTGCTCTCTTCCTATATATTCGGCCCGATAAGGTGGCGCGTATTTACGGCTTTGTCAAGTGTTTGTGCGCAAACACTGCGGAAAGCCTGCCAATAGCTCCTCCAGAGATATTACCAGGGACACATGTGAGCAAATCTCGAGTACCGGCCCACTTCAGTGATCTAATCATCTGGGATTGCTATGCACTCCATACCCCGCCTGGGAAATAAAGTAACTCAGTCTCGAAATCAAGGATGCCTAAGTTATAGTTACAAAATGCTATTTGCCTTTTGAGTTTCTATAGAATATAATGTATAGATTAAAGTAATAGTTTATAACATAGTCTCTTAAATCTTTTTAAAACCACTTCTGAATGTTAGAATTTATTACACCACTTTTTTCTGGGTGGCCAGCACAGCACTATTCATAGTCTCGTAATTTGTCGCGTGGGGTCTAATGACCCATTTCAATTAGCTACCCCTGGTTCCCCCCAAACATTAACTACAATTTTCCCGGCCCGAGTGAGAATTGGAAATATAAACAGCCTCTCACGACTTGATCTGGCGTTAAATTGTAAAGTCTGTCGGTTTACAGAAACATATGCGGGGGCTCCCGCCCCTTAAATTGCCGACTGCCATCCATTGTTCCGACCAGAATCGTGTGATAGCGACAGTTGTAAGGCAAGTCGAGCTAAACTTTAGGCACTTTCGATTTCACAGCCAAGTGGCGTATCTTGGCCCCTTGTTCCATCCCCCATCCCCCACTCCCCCGATCCCAGCAATTCTAGTCAGTCATCGCCGGCATTATCATCATCATCACAGCGCTCGTCGTCATCATTGAATTTTTGTGCTGGTTTCTGTAATAACCCATGCTGTATAGGCTGTTGTTTTGTTGTCGTAGGTTGTTGCCCATTGTTACTCGCCCATGATGTCATGAAGTTTTGAGTTAATTTGCATTATTAACTGCTTTGTTTGTTGCTACCTCCGCGATGTAAGTACGTATTTTGTTGCGGAATAGGCAGGCAAGCGGGTTAAAAGTGAGAGGACTGAGCTGAGCTCTGTTGGGTGTAATTGTTTAAGTACACTTTTCTGGGTCGTTACGCGGATTAGACTTATTTCGGATATTATGAATCAAAGTGTTCAAAAATAGAAATTCAAAAAACATTTTATTTATTTTATCTAAACTAAATCTAATGGTGCTATAATTCCCACATATACAACTCAAAATTAAATTACATTAATATGTTACTTATAATAACTCACTTTTCAACGTTTTATGATGTTGGCTAGGAAAAATTTGTAATGACTGCAACTGATCTCATGTCTAAGGTTCTCAAGTCTTATTGGTTTTATTATTCAATCAAATATTTTCATAGCTAATTTTATTGGCGTTCAAAGGGTAGGCAAATTGAATGATTAATGTCAAACTGGCAGTATGTTTACATATCGATCTTGATTCGCTGCCCCTATCTTCCCCTAATGAAATAACCTCCCTGCTTTCCCTACTGATAAACCCGGCCCTCATCCCCCTGGATAGTAATAGTTCCCGATGCACTGGGGTATTCCAGTGCAGGCTGGTTTTATTGTGTTTGCTTGTCGGAGTAACGACGACGGCGTTCCGCTCGACCGACAACGGCCTGCTAATTACCACGCTAATGTCGGTTCAATAGAGTTCACCGAAAGTAAAAGTTTCGCAACCGCAGAGAAAAAGAGAGACAGAGAGAGGGCAACGCTTGGTAGTAATTGGAGCGCGGCAATTAACAGCCAAAACAAACCCCGTAGCCATGTTTTTCGACGATAATTAATCGGTTCGAGTACTTGCAGCGCCTAACGGTTAACAGTTATCGGCTAACGGTTAGCAGTTACCAGTAACCAGTCGCCAAATTAACCGCCCGAGAACCGATCTGAGCCACGATGAGCATTATCGACAGCGGCAAGTACCGCTTGCGGAAGGACTGGGCCAGCGCCTCCATTCCGTCCTTGGTCAACATCGATGAGCACGACGGCGACTCCGGATCCGGGGACACGGAGGGCAGTCTGAGTGTCACGGCCCCACTGCCCCCACAGAAGCCCCCGAGGCGCAGCTCCCTGGCCCTCGGACTGTTCTCCAGCAAATCGGACAAGAGCCAGAAGCGTCGCAGCTCCATAGCCGTCTCCTTCCTGCGGCGGGATAGTAGTAAGGTAAGTGCAACAACCCACTCAATATTTTGGATCTTAAATTCGTTTTTATATCCGATGTATCCCAGAGTAGGAGAGAATACGATCATAATCAAGGAATCTCTAATATTTATCGAACTCATTTCCTATTAATTTTCCGACTGTTTCCGTGGTAGATAGAGGAAATAATCGTCAAATTTTTTCAAATCAAATTCAAATTTCAGAAATATTCAATTGCTTATATCCCTAAAAGGACAGACAGTATAAATATATCCTCTAATGATTTACTTTCTAAATATTATAAATCTAGTACAAAAAGATAAGTCCAAACAGCTTTTAAAAATTTTGAAAAATGTTCAAAATCATATTTCTTTTTTTATCTGGTAAAAATAAATAATATAAGAAATAAGTTAGAAATCAATAAAAACTCTTAATATGTGATTATTAAAACCAAAAATGTTATTGTTACGGTCCCTGGAATATACAGAAAAGAAAGAAAAATGTAAAAGCTTACAGTTTTTAGTCAGAATGTTTTATGTTTAATATGAAAACCTCATTTGGTCTGAGTATTAACCCATTAATTTTTCCCCTTGCAGAACTCTACCAAAGACTCGTATGAATCGGCTGTGCGCAGCGAGAAGTCCGATGGCTCCGGCACACCCAACAGCCCGGAGATCGTATACAGCTCCGAGGAGAACATCAGGGCCAGTTCCCCCAATGACCCCGGCAAACAGACCTTCTTCGAGGATGGCAGCCAGTCGCCGAGACCAGTGCTCCAGGGGTTGAACACCTCGTACGAGGGTCCCGCCAACGATCGCCAGAGGCGCAGGCGCAGCTCCCTGCAGACCAAGTTGGACAGGCATCGCCGCAAGAAGATGGAGTACATCAACCAGAGGAGCTTGGACTCGGGCCTCATGTGCAGCGAGTCCCAGAGCGACCTCACCAACGACAGCTTGGCCGAGGCCTCCGGCAGCTTTGCCAATGGAAACGGCAACGATGACGAGGACGACATCATCGATCCCAGCCACGGAGAGTATTTCCCGCGCGAGAAGCGCCACTCCTGGTGGAACATTTTCGTGCCCGATAATTTCAAGAACAGGTTCGCCCCTCTCTCTTTCAATCTAACCGTCTGCGTGTTTAACAAGCGCCTTGCCAAGTGACTAAAATGCATCGATTGCGTAAGAGACCCTTTGTGCCCCCAAACCCACCAATCTCCTCCCGCTGCGAATGTTGAACTAACACCCGTCGAATATGTGATTAATTGCCGGCATGAAACACTCCCACACTCAGACACACACTTTCAGATAAGCTTCCGGTCTCCCTGGGCCTGGTATCCAGCTCCATCCTAATTTATGCGATGCGTCGGGAGACATTTCCTCAGAGGAGAACCTCCGCGCAGCTGGATTATCACCAGGCGAATCGCTCGATTGCCAATTAAGCATAACGATTCACGCACTCGCCAAAAGTCATTCATCACCGTCGAGGGTTCTAATTAAAGATTTCTGGTTAGCATTTTTCGGGTTAAGGGGTTGTCAGGGCTTATAGCAGGACCAAAATCGGTTCTAGAAAATGTTAAAAAGAAATTTTATTTTTGGCTTCACAGTTTAATAGTTCCTTGAGTCATTTTCCATGTGCACTCCATACAATCAAAATGTTAATATAGGTTTTACCTAAATATTTTACAATCGTTTTGACAATCATATGCATATTGGAAATTAGATACCTCTGCCTTAATTCGCAAATTCAGTGGCAGTTAAAAAATACAAAATAAAGATTGCTTTGGATGGATCAACCTATGTGGGAGGATTGCTGGTTTGGCATGATAAAGTAGTTTCTCACACCTGCTCTTCTTCCCCATACGAAGACAGACTTTTAAAGACCTTCGGCTGGGAGCTCAGAGGTTCATTCACTGACCCCGACCCGCCGACCGGGCCAAGTCATTGCCTCAGACGCCCAACGGGGGCTTTGGATCTGTTTCGGTTTCAGCTTCAGCCTTCGGACCCGCCTCTACTCCATTAGCCATTACCCATTTGGTTGTCTAGCAGGCGAGGCGGAATAAGCTTCATTATGCTCAGTATAATTATTATTTTTAATGCCCGCACAAATCTTAGCCCCCGGCAGCGGCAATTAGAGCCGGAGAAGAGCGAAAAGCCCTCGAAATCAGCTGATGATCGGACCGTGCAGCTCTTGAATTACGGGAATCGGCTTATAAATATTGCACATCGATGCCGATATTTCTCGTGTAATTTGTGCTTCCTCAAAAATACACTTTTTTGTTTGTTCTCGTCATATCTTACTTTTAATTACCCAGCATTTTGTATTGTTTTCTTTCTCTTGTCACACTTTGCTCATGTCTCGATTTCGATTTGAGACTCTGTTTGTATTTTCGTCTTGCCTCGCATTTTAATTATTTTTGATTATTTGTGATTGTTTTGTTGTTTCATTTTCTTTAATTAAAAACGAGAAACAATAGAAATTATTGCCCGAAAGGCCGTGTAAATAACAAACCTTTTGGGTGAACATATTGATGAGCAAATAATGCAAGACTGGACTTTTACATCAAGGCTATACTCTTTCACTGTTCATTTTGCAGTAATTATTTTTTTCCCACGAAAGAGGACTTTGAACATGTAAATTATGCAGTTGCAAAAAATTTATCTTGATCGGGTTTATATCTTTTGAAGGAACCCTCTTTTTCTGGCTTACGTAAGCGGCCTGGGAATAATAAAACGCGGCATTTACAGTTTCCAATGTCAATTAAACTTGTAAAGAGAATTAATGGAGCCCACAAATAAAGCGAATTGTCCAACGGAATGTAAACAAAGGCAATAACCGTAATTGACCATATTTGCTGCATCGGTCGCCTCCGTTCCTATGAGTCCATCCTATACATACATAAATATTCTACATCGAAGTGTCGCGCACTTTTAACTGCTCGGGCAGCACGTTTTTAGTACACGCGATACGGATCTGATTGATATTTTAAGGGAATTCCAAATGAAACAAAGGTTAATTTAGTGTTGAACATATTGTATAGAAAAGTATTTAAAGTAAATATTTTGTAATGCTAAATTAGGTAAAATATTTATTTATTTTTTCAAAAATGCCTCCAACGACCCTTACTTTTATACAAAAATCTTTTGTAAGCCCCACCAAAGATGAAGGGCTTTGTTGCTCGAAACTTTGAAGCTGAAATATATCCAATCATGCCAATCGATTGACTTGTGTGCTCTTGGTACTTTTGTGGATTTTTTCCCATCGAGTATCCGTTGAAAAAAGCGCTAAGCCCCCGCAAGCTTGCCACTTGAAATTGTTAATTAAGCCTGGTCCAAACAAATGCGAACAGCCTCCAGTCACAAGGCAGAATTTCGCCTCACGTGAATATTTGCTCAGCTTGGGGGCGCTGTGCCCCTCCTTATCTTTGTGCCTCCCATTCCCATTTGGCTTCTGTTTCAGCGCGGTATTGACACAAGTACGAATTCCATCAGTCCAACAATATCCCATAAGGTGCTTAGACTTAGACTTAGTGATTCCAACAATTTTAGCAAACATTTGATCAGCTTATATGCTTGTGTGCAACTGTATGCAAATGCCATAAATCCTCACATACCTTTTATATAGGGGTTCTGACGCTATCTTTAGAGTAATTTTAAAACAAGGCAATAAAATCAAATCGGCGGCATAAAAATATAAAGTATTATAGTGAATTATTTATGAGGTTATTATTTGTTTTTGCCAGTGGGCGGTAGGTGTGAGGTTTAGTTTAACCAAAAAAGTGTACCCAACCCCTTTTGAGTCTATTAAGTTGTCACAGTGACCCAAAAAAAGGCATTAAAGTAAATCATTTATACAACACTTTATAAAACCCCCAATTATAAATGCTTTACACCTCGTCATATATTCATTTCTTTCTCTGACTCACCGTGGGGATCAATCCATAAGGGGTAATAACTTTACCATTATTCTTGTGTTTGATACTGATTCATTTCCCAAAGAAAAGCACCTCAGTTATAGGGTTCAAAGAGTTTGGGTGACTCATTCGCGGGTGAAGTGCCTAGATCAAACTTTTACTGGTAGTCGGCAACTGTCGATTCCACACTTGAAAGTGTCTCAATATCAGATTCAAAGAAGCAACTATTTTTTTCGAGCTGAGGCCCACTTCAGCTTATCAAATTAGCACAAGAAACAACAAGCACACGAACACGGGAACCCTTTAGGAAACTCGGTACAATGTTCACTCCACCTCACCGCCTGTCCAGAACTCGTAACGCCCCCTTCGATGGCGTCGAGGGCTTAGTTAAAAACACAAACAAAAATAAATACAGAATACAAAAACAGAAACAAAAACGTTTCGAGCGAGAGGTAACAAGAATTTGTGACAGGTACTTGGCGAACGCAATGGGCTGGGAAGTATACTTTATTATATTGTGTATAATCGTACGATTTATGGGGGACTGACCAAAGACTTCCATAAGACCTCAATCGGGTTCGGCTGGCCTGACATTTTGGTATCAACATATATCTCTTTATAGCCGCCCAATATAAAGCGAATTGAGTCGTAATTCATTTTTACACCTGCCCCCGCCCCTGGCCATATATGTATGCCCCATAAGGTAAATACAAATGTGTGTCCGTTTGTCCAAAATCGATTTTGACTTTTTGTTTACAATTCGTGCTGTTTGGCTTTAAGCTATCTCTAATATGTATAAAGCGTTCTAAACAAGTCCGCGTTGATGTAATCCCACGGGTTCGATTGCTTCAATATTCATCGATGATCAGTGCAAAATTAATTACCCAGCTCCAGGCTCGAGAAATTCTTAAAGATAATTAATATTGCAACTAGGTAATACATTAAAATGGGGCCCAGACAGCTCGACGAGCTCAGGTGGGAATCCAGTAATAATGAAGTGTGATGGGATGATTGATCATAAAGATACCGCTTAGGTTACTAGACGATCATGCTAATTTGCTGGAAATGAGGTAAATATAATAATTAATTTTAAAAGTTTATAATCCAGTTGAGGATTTTATGACGAGAATACATAATGACTTGGCAGATAGGGAAGGGATTATCTCATTGTGGACTACGAATTATTATAAAATATATTAGTTAATTGCGTACGAAACAGTTATTTCAATTTACCGGAGTGTTTCGATTTCCTATCAAGCATCTTTATTTTCTATTATAAAACGAGATTCCCTTCTCACTGTTTGTTTGCTTAACTATTTAGCGCGCACTTTAAATTAGTTGCTCAAATATTTAACTAAACTAAACATATGATAACAATTATGAAAGACGTAACCTATCGTTATTTGCGTAACTGTCGCAGTGTCAACGTGGAAGTCATGTACTAACTGAAGTTAAGTCAGATCTATTCGGATATTTTCAGATCTGCTAACAATTTAATTTGTATATCATCTTGAGTTGATTAAAATCAATGCAGATATTATCAGATTGACATCAAATTCATTGAATCTCCTGTTAATAATCCTAGTAACTTTTTGCTTCAATGATGTACTGTGATGTATTTACATACTTTCGCTTCCACCCCAACTTAAGTTCCACACTGAGTGGCATTAAAGTGGGGATCTGGGGATCGCTTGGGTCGAATGATTACGTGCGTGTGTGCACAAAGTCCACAGAGGCAGAGGCCTTTTATTGCGCTCGGCTGGCTGCTGATTTGATAAATATATATTAATGTCAGAACAAGAGGGCAGCGGAGCACTCGCACTCGCACACCAGCGTATCCAGAATGATAACATCCAGTTCCAGTTCCATTGCCCATGCCATTAACAATGACAGACCCAGAACTCAGAACTGAGACCCATGGGATAATTTTATTTTGCGTCTGTCAGTTGGAAATGGAACTGTCGCGTAGCGAGACATTTGAACCGTTCTCTCTCCCGATTCCCCGGCTGGATCACACCCGAAAAATCGTAATTTTATGCAAATGCAAAGTGCCAGAGTGTTAAACTGGATTCTCAGTGCCTTCGCAGAGAGTGTGTTGAGTTAATTGCAATTCATAATTTATTTACAATGCGAATTACTTATATATTTATTACGAAATGTGCAAAGCAATTAGGCTTTATGGCATTAAATATTCATTACATTTAACGAAACTCTTTAAAACCAATTAAATGCAATTTCTTCGAGCACCTCAAATTCCAGATGGAAACCCAGAGAGGAAATCGTTGCGATATATCAATATTTGTTCATTGATGAAAATTTGTTCGATTCGAAGGCGGGTTTTGCATTCGTTTCAATTAGATTCTCGCTTTGTTCAATGCTTTGTTTATTGGTTCGCGTTTTTTCCCAATGATAAGGTGGTTCTTATCTTAATTTACGTAAAGCAAGTTTCAATTTAAATGAAAGATAACAGTTCCTCGGCGCTGTTGTTGCCGCGTCAGTTTGTGTAAATATTTTGAATTTTGGCCAAACGGGTTTATTGAAATTTCGTCTCTGCCTTTCTTTGTTTTGAATCGTTGTTTTTTATTCGTGTTGTGGAATTTACAAAAGTGAAGGTCAGTTAAGTCGTTGTTAGGTGTTTGAATTCTGAGTTCTTTAAATTTTCCTATCAAGGGGCTCGTCTGTCCAGCCACCAAAGATTTTGGCCAGGTGTTGCTTGGGTCCCCATATGAATTACCTCAATAAGCCGCTAATGAAGGCAGGCTGACAATTCTCACAGATTGGCCACAGAAATTATAGGCCCCGTGCTAAATACCTGGCAAACACGACACATCCAAACTAGATTTTATGTGAAATCAGGTGAAATAAAATGTATTCACGCTGGAACAAAAGTTTCAAACGAGTTGCTGATGTTTTCATTACGACGCCGCCGGCGCCGAGAAATTAAAGGCAACTGACCACAATCAGTCGTGCTCACACCCGGGAGGCATTACAAAAGTGATATAAAATGCAATTAATTGTTTCAATTAAGGCCAGTCCAAAAAATGTTGGCGTGCAATATAAATGTGCGACGATTATTTCCTCGTCTGCGCATGACTAAGAACGCCGCCAGCTAATTTAAATGTTTACAAACTGCCTTTTATATCCAAATACCGCAAACGAGATAATGCCGCCGTTGACTTTCTTTTCTGGCTGCGGGTGAAGGCCAACCTTAACCCAAATTTGTGTGTTTCTGTTGGTTTTGCGGAGGAGGATTACTTTCAAGAGCAGACTGAATGAGCAGTGACCTTGTGCGGGGTTCATGACTGATCACTCGGGAGCTGCGGCTGAGGTAATCAATGAAGTAATCAATGAAACAACCACTGATCTGGGGATCATTATCAGTTGGGCAGAGAAGAGAATATTTTATTTTATTTTAATTTATATTTCTTATTTCACAATTATTTTGTGTGTCATTATACAAGAGCGTTTTATCATATTTTCCACAATTTTGGCTGAAACTCCGCTGAGTCAAATTACGCAATCGTCACGTGCTGACTGGCCCTCGAACATGACACATTTTGTGATGCAAAAAATAGCACAGGCAGAGGCAAAAATGTGTCCAAAAATCCAATTAACCTTTTTCTTCGTCGTTAAGTTGGTAGCAACGGACGAGCAAATACAAACAGCATTTCGTTCGCCTTATTTTTCCAGAGCAGCAAAAAGCCAGGGCAAACAGAGATAACAATGCGGCATAAAATTCTAATTACGGGTGGCAGGAGGGGCAGACCTTAGGGGGGAATTTAAATATGATTATCAAAAGTCGGGCTGGGGGCGGGGGGCGAAATGGAGTTATATCAAAATCAAAGTCGGAATTAATTCGCTGACCGAAGAACACGTGACGGTGTTTATACGACAACTACTGCAGTTTGTTGTCAGTTGTGTTTGCTAGCATTCAGCCAAGACTCCGACTGATAAGGGCCGACTTTGGGCGTTTTTCGTAGTATTTTACCCTGCCCGACGACTGGCTCCCCCGACAAGCTAATTAATTTCGCCATCAATATTTTCCACCACCTACAGCAGTGACAGCCAAATTGAATCATTAAAAGTCAACAGTGTCAAGTGAATTTATCTTTTGTTTGCCTTAGCTACACTCCGCTTTTTCTCTCGCTCATCTGTCAACTGCTTGGGCTATGATTGATCGACTAGTTAATCGGTATCCAATATTTTCCCCGAAACATTCATCATTTCCTTTAATTGTTTTAGCCCTTGAGTTGTGTGTGAAGGCATCACAGAAATTGCATTTAATTTTGGGTTAATATTGTCTCTACTTTAGAGTAAGCAAGGTAATGAACTAAGTGAAAAAGTCGTACAAGTAGAAAACAAAATGCAGAACGTTATAATAACATCGCAATATTATTGGTAAGCTAATTTGTATCCTGAGTTCATACATTTTCTTTTAACAAAGCTGGCATCAAAGAGTTCTATTAAGAAATCAATAATTGCCTGGTAACCAAAATACTTCCCTCATAAATTGTATCTTTATGACGATTGTTAAAAACTTTCGATTAGAGTCCAAACGTTTTTGTCAGGCGATTTTTTAAAAATTGTTTACCAGGGGCGTGAGCTCATTATTAAGTGTAGGTTTTTATAAATAATCCTTGGGAAATAACACATTTTCTTTATATTATTAAGTTCAGAGAAACATCAAACCGAGTGTCTTACGATAAAAGTAAATCTTTTGAGCTGGGGACTAACTTCCGGTGAGCTTCAAGCCGAAGACCATTGCAATCAAACACTCCAAACATGATCTTGAGCACGTACTCATATTCCCCATGCTTCCAACCGAATTCCCTTTTGTTTGCCCATTAAGTTTCGCCTTTTTGGCGTTGTGGGTCAATGTTAAGTAAAGTGAACAAGTCTTGTAAAGCCAAAAGACGAAAGTACAAGCAACTCTCATTAAATAAAATATTTTATCTGCTGTTAATTACCTTTTAAAAATGTAAGATGTTTAATCAATTTATAAATCGTTTGCTGAATGGCTTTTTTCTGGATTAATATATTTATATGCTATTTAACGAATTTTTCTTCCAATTTCATTGGCTCATTTAACAAAGCTTCTCGCAAAAATTTCCTCGACACCTATTAAACACAATTCCTCAGTCGATTAAACGACTGTTTTACAATTGCCCTAAATTTAGATAAACTGTCTATGCCAAATGATTTGACCATGGGCTATATCGGAGACTTTTCGGGTGTCTAGGTTTGTGTATAAAAAAAACCTTGAGTTCTAGCAATCTTACCTGAAATAGTCGCGAATTGTGGGATTTTTGTGTGCACTCATATCATATCGGTCTATAAACTGTTCACCCTTGACAAGCTAAAGTATTTTTGCAGCTCAGGTTGGACATTGGTTTTAACAAGATTTCGAGTGCGTAGAAGAAAACAAGAACTCTAAATACCTACATATTGATAATGCTGATAGTATCAACTGATTGCAAATAAATGGTAATTCTTGAAAGGCACTTTTAAGTCTGAAGTGTGGAAGATTCTATGAATTTCTGAAGAGTCTACGTACAACTTAGTTTGGTTTAATCATTATCAGAATTTGTATTATTATTATTATTCCCAAGTCGGTCCCATTTATTTCCACGACCTCACTCGATTCGCCTTTTTTCTGGACGTGACGACTCCAAAGCAATTAGCTCAAAGTCGTCTAAACCACGTGCTCCCCACAGACATGTAGCCCTGTAGATACCCAATGGTGCATATATGGCGATCCATTAGACGGGAGGATTCGGGGCTGGGATCCGAGGAATTCCTCCAGCTACGTGTGCATTCCATAGACTGGCGTTTGTTAAACTCGCGCGATTTAGGCGATTTAGGAATTTACCATTTCGTAATTATATATTTTTATTTACCATATTATTTTCTCCGTTTATTTCTTTGGACCTACTGTATTTGTTTTGGCGCAATTTGCCCATTTAATTGGTTTTGTCCGCCTGCCCCGATGTGCTCCTTATGATTTGCGAACGTGCCAGGTCACGTAGAGCTAGTCAAGATGTTTCCAGTTTGTCACGCAGCGTTGACAATTTGGCGATACCCGTGCGCAGGTAAGTTGCAACTAACGATTCCACCTGTCCATAGAAGCACCCACACCCCACCCCACGCCACCCACACCCACACAAATGCAAATGAGCCAGAGCCACATCCAGTAAACGTAAATGTAGAAAAGGCACCTGCATGACATAACTATCTATATCTTTATATAGTCTATGTTAATCCACGTATCCATGTTGAATGTTGCACGGCCCGACTGTGTTCTTAACTCACCTGCATGCCCATATTTGATAACCCTGCACTTATAGAACTAAGAAATAATCATATATCTGACTTTCAGCGAATTGTGACCATAGCTGCGAAGCCAATTGGGCTGGCAATTTATGAACTTTCGAACAAGCCAATCGATTGCAACAATAAACAAGAAAGGAAGCTAGCTTCGGCCAGCCGAAGCTTAAATACCCTTGCAGATCATTCCTATTAATTAACAAATCGCAAAAATGTTCAATTAATTTCATTAATCTCATTAATTTTCCGATCGTTCCTATGGCAGCTATATGATACAGTCGTCCGATTTTGATCAAATTAAAATTGAAATTCGGAAATATTTAAAAAGAGTCATATCCTAGAGTAGAAGATAATACAATAAAAACCAAAGAAGTTAGAATTTATTTCCTATCACTTTTCCATTAATTTTCCGATTGTTCCTATGGCAGCTATATGATACATTCGTCCGATTTTTTAAATATTTAATTCGAAATTCAGAAATATTTAAAAAATAACATCCCCAAAAGTAGAAGGTAATATTTCAAAAAACACCGAAGCTAGAATTTTTTTAACGTTTTCTTTTCCGATCCTTCCTATGGGAGCTATAAGATATAGTTGTCCGATCCGGTCGGTTCCGACATATATACTACCTGCAATAGAAAGAAGACTTATGGGAAAGTTTCATCCCGATAGCTCAAAAACTGAGAGACTAGTTTGCGTAGAAACAGACAGACGGACAGACGGACAGACGGACAGACGGACAGACGGTCAGACGGACAGACGGACAGACGGACATGGCTAGATCGACTCGTCTAGTGATGCTGATCAAGAATATATATACTTTATGGGGTCGGAAACGTCTCCTTCACTGCGTTGCAAACTTCTGACTGAAATCATAATACCCTCTGCAAGGGTATAATTAGGCTGAGCGAAAACTAAACCGAAAACGGCAGGCAGCAAATATTGATAATTTATAAAGCGAGCGGGCCAGCGTTCAAATTACACTCGCTCCCAGATTATTTATAGATAATCTTAATGTTCGCTGTCGTCTTATTAACGATTTTTGATAATTTATAAGTCGCGTATAAGTGTAAATAAATGGCTGGTGTTTAATTGATGTCGACAGATAAAATCCGCGGTTTGAAGAGTGTGAGATAAGGCAGTTTTTTAAAACGCAAATATAAATATTCCATTGGGACTAGAATATTTAGATCCTACCCTACACCCAGAAAACAAAATGGACTAAAAAGGGGCCTAATTACCTAAAATTTTAGGAAACATGGCCAGAAAAATGCGCCAAGGCCATGCATTACCTTAAATGTTGTCCATGTGGACTATATTTTTTACGCAGTTTTGAATTTATTTCTGGTAATCGTTACCTAAAAAAATGGCTAGTGGACTAGATTTTTAGGTCAAAATTACCTAAATATTAGGTATTTTCAAAAAAAATTAACATTTTTACTATTGATAGTAACATATTTGTTTATTTTAATTGCTTATATTGTTTTATTCGGATAAGTAAACATTTTACCTTTCTGAAAAAACAATCATGTTATTTTGTCCTCGGTGGGAATCGATCCCCGGTCTTCTGCGCCAGAGTCCAATATGCTAGCCTCTGGTCTACGGAACTACTTAAAGGCCCTGCGGCAAAACCAAAGCCTGCTTCTAGGGGCACAGGCGAATTCTATTTTTAGAATAGGGCACTATTACCTTAAAAGTAGGAAAATAGTCCACGTTGGTATTGAGTTTATATATTGAAACTTTTATATCACTAGCTTTAAGATAAGTCTAATAAAAATTTTTAATAATAAACTTAAAAAACCGAATAAATTGTTTATTAATATTAAGGACCAATATTTTTATTAAATTGTGTGTAATAATCGACTTCAAACTATTCCTAAATTTTAGGTCTTATGGACCAATTTTAAGGTTACGATGGCCTATAAAAATCTCTTTAGCTTTACCTAAAAAGTAGGAACATAGTCCACATGCTAATATTTTAAGGTAACCCATTACCTAAATCTGAAATTTTAGTCTATGAAAATTTTTTAGGTCATACATTACCTAAAAAATAGTCCCACATTTCTCTGGGTGTAGGAAAAGGCCAATAATTGCGTGGAACGACAAGAGATCATTTTATTATCAATTTCACAACTGCAATAATCGCCAGTAATTCATGTTATTGTGCGTCGCACATTACGTACACGTAATAAAACTGAGTCATTGGCAGAGTTCAAGTCGTACTGTCTGCAATTCGCCACGATCGATGGTAAAAATAAATAAGACGGGGCTTCAAGTAACAACACCCCCGTGGGTTGTTGACACTTGGCCCGGTGGAATTGTGCCAGTAAAACGGCTACTGCTGTTTTCGGCGTTCATGCCACTGATCGCAGCCCAGGGCCAACTTCCCGAAGGTAAACAATGCACAAGAGCGATAAGATATAGAGGCCCAGTGATCGAGCCCTGAATGACTTGGGCTTCATTGGTTTCACCCAGTGCCCCCTGGCTATTTATGACACGCCGCATTCCTGCTATTTTGTGTGACTTTCCTGGTAGTGCACTCACTTTAACTTTGATTTTGTGGGAAATATGAAAAAAAAGGAAAACTACTTCAAGCATATATACATACGTCGCTGGAAAAGATGCCTTAATCAAAGATACCTTTTTTATACCCTTGCGGGTTTATTGATTTTAATCAGAAAATTGCAACGCAGACCCTATAAGGAATATATATTATTGATCAGCATTATTATAATAGTCGATCTAGCCATGTCCGTGTGTCCGTTCGTCAGTCTGTCCGTCTGTTTTTGCGAAAACTAGTCTCTCAGTTTTAAAGCAATCGGGATGAAACTTTCCCAAAAGTCTTCTTTCTTTCGCGAGTGGTATATAAGTCGGAACCAGCCGGATCAGACAACAATATCATATAGCTTCCATAGGAACGATCGGAAATTTTATTTTGGGAAACAATTTTTTTAATAATTTTCAGTTTTGAATTTATTTTTATCAATGATCAAAAAATGTAATATAAAATAAATAGGAAACAATTGTAGCTCATGGGTTTTTATTGTATTCTCTTCTTTTTTTTATATTTTGAATTAAATTTAACAATAATCGGACGATTATAGGAAACTATCCTCCTGTAAAGATAATACAAAATTAAAAATTATTGTAATTTAATAGGAACGATTTGCAAGGGTATACATAAAAGCTTCGGCTGGCCGAAGTTAGCTTTCTTTCTTGTTGCATTCCACCCACTTAGGTGGAAGATACTATCCACACAATATCCTCGAACATGTGATACTGCCAGTTTTTGGCTCGCCTCGCTTTCGCTGACCTCCCCGCCAGCCGAATAGAAGAATGCGAAAAATAAATTCAGCCTCCGAGAATAATATTTATGTCATTTACAATTGCCCGTGTTTACTTGCCGAACAAAAGCGAAATACTTTTCCATATTAACGCGAAAGCCAACTGTGCAAATGGGATTCCATTGCTGTCTGAACTCAATAATTTAAATGGCTAAATAACTCGAGACGTGGTCGTCGTCAAACGCAGCCAACTTAAAATCAAACACAGTTGTTTCGCCCAGCCCGTGTTTTTGCAAGGGTTTTTCACTCGAATAGGCCTATCCTTAGTGTGGATGTAGAAAGGTTTTTTCAGCTGCGCAGCCAGCCCAAGACTTTCCATGGAAAATTCTCATTGGCGAGCGGCGGTAAATATGGGTAGGAATTAAAAGTGGGGAAAACAAATAGCGAGTGGCCGACAAATATGCGTTAAATAATTATTTAGTATTTGCTTTCATTGTTTATCCCCGAACAAAAGCACTTTGCATGCGCTGCTGCCAGCTGAAAACTTCGGCGAACAATTATTTTACCCGCTCACATATTTATATTTTATCATTGATATTCAATTATGGTTATCGCCGTTTGCTCGCTAATTGGCAGCGCAGTGAAAAGCCACGCGCAAATAAATTTTTATTATTTTCAGGGGAAAGGGGGACACTTCGGCAGAAAGAAGCCCCCATACAATTATATTCACGAATATTTCCCCCTCCGTCAATTCGGACATGTAGTTGTCATTCACTCAGCTGCGATTCAACTATCTTGGCAAAGGAAAACTTATTTTCCCGCTCAGAATCGAAACGGAAATTAGTTTTGCCAATCAAAGGGGCCGCAATAATAGGGAAAGTGTCACATACTCACAAAACTGCAGGAAAGTATGAGTCGAGGGTAGAAGAAAATCAATTTCACATAATAGGAGTATTAAATTTAAATATCAAACTAAATAGCTTAAATCATCTAGAAAGGGTAAAATAAATCTTAGGCACGGAAATACATAATAGTCAGTTTGAATATAAAAACACAAAAAATAAACTTAAAACAAATAATATAAATGAAATATATTTAAAACCCCAAGGTACAGGTGTGAAAATGAACACCGCTTTTATCTATTTAGGAACTTGGCAACTTGGATCATATATCAAGGCGGTAGTAAAATAATTCTTGCTTGCCAACTACAGATAACTTCTATCTGGATCCAAGGGGTTTGGGGAGGTAGCCCCGGATGAATATGGAATTTCAATATGGAGCTAGGAAGCACACGCGCCTCCCTAAACACCACGACACTTCGGCTCGACTTCAGGCTGTGCCTATAAAAATGCCGAACCGAACTAAACAAGAAACGAAAAGGAAAATATATTAATGATTCTAAAACTTGCAATGGACGCCAATTGAATTTAAATTGAATTCGGAATCGGAATGCCGCCAGTCTCAGATTTGGAGGCGTTGTCGTGGAACAATCAAAGTAAGATTGTGTGGAATTGATATGCAGTCGTCGATTCGCGGATCGCGGATGGATAGCGAAGACTACGCGATGACGCAGCAAAGAATTCTACAATGACGACGGATCTGCCTGGAATTGAAGGGGCACCAGTTATAGGAAGAAGTATTCATCGCTAAAAGAGATTTGACTTACCTCAGCAAATTCCGCGCCAAAGGTAGAAAAGCCCTTCTGCTGCTGCCTGTAGAGCTCCTGCCGCTCGACGGGCGACACCTGGCGGTAGGAATCCGCCGAGTAATGGGCCACCGCAATGCCCACGCCCTCGATCAGGGCCAAAAGAATCCCGCCCACCAGGGCACTGCTGATCATGGAGGTTAGACCTGCGAACAAAATGTTAGGAATACAAATTTAAATGGTATTTATTCAACAACTTTTTGATACACATTCACTACTGAATACTGAAAATATTTTAGAAAAATGGAAATATGTATATACCCATCTATGAAAAACCAAGACAACAACTCTGAGCTATTATAATTGATATGTACTGAAAACGATCAGCCGAATGCGAGAAAAACTAAGATATGCTCTCACAAAAACCAACACTCAACGCTCAACCGTCTGTCAAGAGTCGATAAATCACCTGAAAGGACACAAAAACTCACCTGTTCGAGCAGCCAGAATGCCTCCGGTGGCCGCCCCACTAATTATCGCGTTCCACGGGTCCTCCTTCTTCCGGTAGTGGACCAGTGTGCAGTCGATGGTGCTGAAGGTAGCGCCCCACACCGCGAAGTTACCACCCACTAGGCCAGATCGAGCCCGTAACGCCGATAGTCCCCCGCTCAGACGATGCTTCAGGCCGGAGGGGGCGTTGCGGAAGCCCTTGATCGCCTGGAAGGCCCCTCCGCCCAGCGCGCCCATGGCGAAGGCCCCACCGCAATCCTCGATAATGCGAAAGGGACACGGCTCCCTGCTGTACTCCTCCATTTCAGTTGATTGTGCGGATTTGAGGCAGAGGGGAAATATTAATCGGGTGACAAACAAGCTCTATACAGCGAGGATAGATTTTAAAATCAAGGCCTTCTTTAAAGCTTGGTTATTTAAAACAATATTTATACCCATGCAAAGGGTAATAGCAAAGACAGAACATTTATAGGGAATTAATTAGGGAAAAAGTTATTGCTTCGTTGGTTTTAATGACACTTTCTTCTACTGTGGTAAATACCTTTTTTTTTAATATTTTAGAGTTCCAAATTAAATTTTTGGAAAAAGAAAAGGATCTAACAATGAATGTCAATATAATACAAAAACCGCTATAATTTTGTTTGTAGTAACCTATACGGAGTAGAACTAAATTAAAATTGTTTGTAGTTTAAAAGTAATGATCGAGCTAAGATTGTTAACCTAGCAAGCATCTTAAGGACAAATCAAATGAAAATCGTGACTTCCCTCAAATCGCTTAAAGGCTAATTCAAAAAAACAAATCGAGAACCGTTTAGAAAAACATTAAAACGCGTCGTTTGCCTTATTTGGACACTCACCGATTGTCAAGATAAGCTTTACAAAACGATAGCAAAATACACAACGAAAAGGCTGAATAAAAAAGGCAAGCGGGCAGCCAATAAATAAATTGTTATTACCCAGTTATGGTCACAATTCGAGCTGGAAATTTGTAAGTGATAAGGATCGCAACAGATTGCGCTCCGATCGCTACAAAGCCCAAATATTCCCTCACAGTCGATTTACAACCGTTTTGTGGCTTTTTCCAGGAGCAAATCGCGCAGCGTGGATCACGGCCTTGCGGCTCCGTTTGACTTGGACTCGCTCCGCTCGAAGGTGGAGCAGCGCTTCGAGAGCGTCGACAAACTGTCAAGTGAGTATCGCCATCGAAAAGCCTACTAACTAAATATCACCAGAGATGGATCAATGTCGATCTATAGCTCTTTCGCAGGGATTTTTCCGGTATTATATACCACCAACAAATTAGTAAACTGGTCCAATAGCGCCACCTATCGGTCTGTGTGGCCAAACTTGTATCTTGATTTCGCTGGCAGGTGTCGCCATTTCAGATTTTGACTAGTAGAAGATCAGGCCGCTAGATGTCTCTGTTCTATATTACCATAGTGCTACCTTGTAAAATGTAATGTAAATACTGGTACAGAAAACGGAGAGGCGGAGAGAAGAGTAAAAGAGCAAGGGAACGAAAAGTATTGATATAATAGGAGAATGGGGAGCAGCAGAAGAGAAATGATGTTTGCTGAAAGGCGCGTTATTCAAAAATTCAACTGATACACAAATGAGACCTTATGTATATAATTTATTTTCTTGGCACCATACGGTAAAAAAAAGGTTGTGATTTTTTAAAATATTTATTTTAAATTATATTTTAGTTTGGTTCATTTTAGAAACATATTTAAATGGTAATTAAAATTAAGTCTTTTACTGAGACATACATTTAGCCATAAGTAAATTTACGGTTGCTCAAGTGCCGACAACTTCCTGCGAAATCACTATTACTCAGCATTTGAACAACGCAAGGGTTAATGGGAACATCGATTGTCAACATATCGTATCATCGATCGCATAAGTAATAAAGCTCGCAGGTTATGTGAGTCACTGCAGAACATGGGGGGTTACCTATAAACTAATTCTTATCGCGTTTTTTCCGTATCAACATTCATAGTTGGTTTGATAACAAACAACGCTGTTTGCCCTGAGTTTGTGTTTTTCCTTCGGCAGTCGCTTTAGTTTTTCGCACGGTCCGTCCGCAGAATGTTAGGGTTTGAAAATGCGCGCCCAAGCCAACAGCGCAGATTTTGACAGCTGACAGAAGAGATGAGGATGTGCCGGCATTTCGGAGAATAAGCACCACAGAAAGTCTTAAAAATTCTGGGAAAATGCTGGAAGTGATTGAGATTTACTGGCATCTGCCGACAAACGAATTCTCGGTTATCTACCTGTGCCGGCAGCAGGTTCCGCCCACAGGTGTGCTTTACTCTCACCTGCGACCCGATGGCGAATTCTTCGAGGTCTTCCAGCAGAGGGAAGATACAAAATTACCCCAAGTTAACCCGTCGAGTAACGAAAAAAAAAGCGACCACGTTGCGCCAGTGAATTTTATTAATTATCATTTCTTTTCGTTTCGCAGGGCAAAAGTCTTCATTGCCCACCATACCCACCATTTCCTACACCGTGGGCAATCGCGACACCCTGACCTCCGTGGCCGCCCGCTTCGACACCACCCCGTCGGAGCTGACCCACCTGAACCGGCTGAACAGCTCCTTCATCTACCCGGGCCAGCAGCTGCTGGTGCCCGACAAGACGGCCAAGGACAAGGACAAGGACGACGCCTCGAGCAGCTCCACCCACGACCCCGACGGAGGCAGCCTGTCCGGCAAGTCGAGTCCGGTCGAGCGCAAGCTGTCCGCCGAGGAGAGCCGCGAGAAAGGTAAGCTCCGTGGAAATGGTGCAATTGGTGCGACGATAGTGAAGCATTTGCCATCATCGACGCTTGAGATCTTTAGTTGCACGAGCTCTGCATGCCATCAGGTCGAAAAAACCAATCAAAGAACCAGGTGCACCCTTTATGCAAAAAATTTACATAGTTTAAAAGTGATTATTCATTGCTCATCATTCTCATTCAAATAGTTGGGAAGCCAGTAATTAGGAGTCTATCCTTAAATTAAAAATTGAAAAGTTCGTAATTTAAAAACTTCCACCGCCAGTTTAAATCAGTTTCAGGAATCCCCCTCATTTAAATTGGTTAGCTATAGTACAACCAAATTGTACTAATTTTTCCCACTGCCAGTTGGCAATTCATCTTCCAGCGGTCACACTATTCAGACAACAGCTCAGCCCTCAATTTAACAGAAATGTTTAGAAAAGGGGGATTCCCTAAACTGTTGAATTGCTGAATTGTTGAAAATTCAACAAAAAATTTCAGCAATTAAGGGAACGACCCAAAATGGTTCCTGTTGAATTTTCAAACAGCTGTTATTTGTTGAAAAATTTCACGGAACTTAAAGCATGTAAAATTTGATTTATTATTGCTAGTTAAGCCTAGTACTCAGTTCGGCTAAGAGTTTTACTAGTCGAAAAATATTAATATTTTAGGGTGACCGAAGTTTTCGGAGTTCATCCGCAATGCATGTAGAATGGTCTTACTCTCAGCAAGCAAATTAACTGGCGCCAATTTTGAAATATTACAAAATGATTAGCCGACCTAGGTCGCAAGCTTTAAATTTGCTGTTGGAATGAGGATATGTATTGCTGCAACTCCTACAGGCAGTTTTCCATTGGTTTTTGGGGTTTTCATTCTATTTATAATATGTTATTGGCACACCGCTTCTGCACAAACACAGCCAAAGATCAAATTTTTTATTCTTTGGGCCGCGGCTAAAGGCGTTCATCAGAATTCATCCGCTAAATCTAGTATTTTAGTGGTATTTTCTTACTATTTCCTTAGCTCAACTGAGTACCGAGGTGGGAAAAAGTCCCCGGCTAAGGGCTTTAGCTACCTATTTGCCTCTCGCTTACTCCTATGCTTAGCTAGCAGTTTTCGTCGTACTGAGTACTAGGCTTTACTATCTAAAAGTGTTATAAAGGTAAAAAGAACCACAAATATTTTGTATGGAACAGCTGATTAACAGCTGACCAAAATTCAACAACTCAGCAATTCAACAGTTTAGGGAATCCCCCTATAATTTTTTTCAGCAAAAACAGCTGTATCAATAAAAAAAATAGAAAAAGGGGAAAATATAAAAAAGGCTTATTTTAAGAAACGTATCGGTTTTTTTTAAGAAATTAAAAAAGTAATATTGTACTATTGTAGCTAAGCAGCTAGTTGGTAGTCGGGAACAGCACTCATTGGCGAAATCCATGCCCAAAATTCTTTGTAAATTGATTAACTGCAAAACACTCGTTTTTAAATCTTCTCCATCCACTCATCAAACTCTCAAACTTTTGTTTGCACGCCTCTTTTAGCAGAGTTACTTAATTTTATTCGGTTTCGCAAAAGATTTTTAGCGTTGGAAGCCAAATGAGGTGTGATGGAAATAAAGTTTTACCATTTCGAGCCAACCCAATTAAAACAACCCAAAAATTTTAGTTTTAAAAAGTTTTTAAAAAGAACTGTTTAAAAAAAAAGCGGAAATACCCGCTGCCTGCTTTTATCAAATTCCAAAAATAAAATCCAAATCTGACGGGAAAGAAGCGAAAATGACACCTCTGCTGCTGACACATACGTTTGTCCAAAAACTGCGCATTCGGAGTGGTCACACTGCTAGAATGAACAATAAAAAAATTGCGGTTTTCCACCTTATAGAACGTGTTTTGTTTTGATCCGCCAATTACCGACGTCAGGTGGTTGATTAGTGAAGCAGCGACGGAGAGAGCGGGATAATCCAGGAAGAGTGCAGCAGGACGTACCAGGATCTGCCATTTCAGCATGCACACCGCTGTCTTCTGGCGCAATGGAGGTTATTGTTTGTTTTTCTTACCATTGTTGTCGCACCGAGCTGTGAACAGTGCTAATTGCGGTTGACAAACTTCTGGCCTTGAGCGGTCCAGGTTTTCCGGAAGCAAACGGCTACCCACGGGTCACGTTTTCACGGCCTTATCCCGGAAATCGCCAATCTCTTACTGGTGATAGAGGGGTACTTGTGTCTGGAAATTTGGTTTTCTTATTATACTTTATGGATAAATATTATTTATAACAATAATTATCCTCACAAAATACTTAAAACAAGTTAATAACTATATTTCAAGTTATCTTTTTACGTTATTACCTTACCCACCTAAAAAAATCGCATAAATGCCGTTCCCATCGCCACTCGTCGTAACGCCTAAAACAACAAAGGAGGTCACAAGGCACAGATTTAGTTTAAACTATCCCATATATCAATTTTGCTTTCACTATCTTATCGCCGGCCACGGGTGTAGTTGATAAAAATCACAGCCCAGCAAAGGCCCTCCGAAATCCCCCCGAAAAGCACTCGCACCCAATATATTATATTATATTAATAAAACGCCTTTTTTGCAGAGCATGTATTGTATTTTCGCACCCAAGACGTTGTATTAATTGAATGCCGTTCCTTGCAGACATACTCGAGGGCCTGCGCCCCGGATCCCCGAAGCCCGGCCACATTGAGCGCGTGGGCGGCAGCAGCCAGCAGCAGGCGGAGGAGGAGGCCAACAAGAGCGACGACCCGGTGATCACCCAGCGCTTCCTCAAGATCAATGTGCGCCACATCACGGACGGACAGGGCGTGGTGGGCGGCGTCCTCCTGGTCACGCCCAACGCCGTCATGTTCGACCCCAACGTCAGCGATCCGCTGGTCATCGAGCACGGTCCGGAGAGCTACGGCGTCATCGCGCCCATGGAGCTGGTGGTCAACGCCGCCATCTTCCACGACATTGCGCACATGCGAGTGGCCGGAGGAGCAGGGCAGGGGCTGAACTCCGGGTCGGGCGACGCAGAGAAGCCGGAGATCTATTATCCCAAACCAGTATTAGTCGAGGAGGACTCCAAGGAGTTGTCCGAGCAGCAGCCGCTGCTGGGCGAGGACGGCAAAGAGCGTTTGGATGGTGAGTTATTCAGTTACCAAACTTAAGTTCTTTATATTTATATGTTCCTCTACCAACCGTAGCTGAAATCGGATCGTTGGAGATTGCCGACGACCAGGAGTCGCTTTGCTCCAGCACTGGACGCGATGGCGACGCCTTTCCCAAAGCCTTCGACCGCGAACGTGTGGAGGTAAACCGCTTTAATCATGTTAACCTCCTATATCAACTGACTTGAGTCTGTTTGCACCAGGACTTATCCACGGAAGCCAAAGATAGCGCTAAGACTGACGCTCAAGACGACGAAGACAAGAAGACCGGCCTGGGCCTCTCCAGCACTCGCTCCACCCTCGAGGAGCGGCGCAAGAGTCTGTTGGATCACCACTGGGCCATTCCGAGCAAAGACCGGTTAGTGTTTGCCCAGCTGCCGCAGCCTTTGCATTTCACACATTCTCCCAGACATTTTGTTTGTTGAACCACATTTAAAGGTTTTTTTCTCACATCGCGAAGTAATGGGAATTTAGATGAATAATTGAAGACTTTAACTTGGTTTGATTCGTCTGTTTAAAATTGATTGAAGCTTTTCAAATTTATATAATATATATAAGTGGTTATTTACCCTTGCCCATTATTTGTGATTAACATTGATAGGAGATAATATTCATTACCAAAACGAATATACATTTATAGCTTCATCACGGAATTATAAGTCGATTTATTTGATGTATCATAACAAAAAACTTTGATAATTGATAATTATGCGATTTAAATCTGTATACGACTTCTCATGATTACCAAAGAGTTAATTAATTTGATAAATCTAGGCTAAATGCGCATTTTATTTTTTTTATTATCTCAAGTAGCTTCCCCAAAGTAATTAACTTGGAATATAACTAGGTGAACTACTTTATCATTCCGAAATCATTCTAGATTAGACTTTGGCTTGCCGAAGAGCACTTTATTTGCCCTAATAACTTTCTGTTTGTATTCTTGTGTTTTTATTTTCATATTTCGATCCACGCCACGCCAAAACCCCCACCCATAAATGCAATTTGTGTTATCAAACCAACCGCTTTACACCAAACCCCAATCACATCACACCCACAAACTCCCTCTTGTACATAAATCTGTGTGTGCCGTGCCACGCCCCCGAAAATTACTCAGCTATTGTTTGTCTAATTCCCGAAGATCCTCGGAAGACGAGGCCGACAACGAGTCCAACATAACCGTGGACAGCGGTGCCCGGGTGCAGGATCCCCATTCGGCCAATAGCTCGGTGAGCGGCGTGCCGGCCAGCCAGCCCCTTGGGGCAGCTGCTGCCCCTCCCGCCTCCGCCTCCGCCGTGCCCCCTCTGCCCCCCTCGGGCATCGACCTGGAGCACCTGGAGGAGCTGTCCAAGCAGTCGTGCTACGACTCGGGCATCGACATCCGCGAGCCCGTTCCCAACGTACAGCCGATACCAAAGAAAACCGTCTACAGCGACGCGGACATAGTCCTCAGCTCCGACTGGGTACCACCGAAAACCATTGTGCCGACGCACTTCAGCGAGTCTCCGCCGCGCAGCACCATCCTGGGCCAGAGCCTGGACGCCGGCACAGGAGGCGCAGGAGGAGCCCGCAAGAAGACCTCCAGCGTCAGCTTCAGCGTGGATGACGAGGCCGCCCAGCAGGCTCAGGCCCAGGCGGCTGCACTGGCGGCCACCGACAAGCAGGCGGACAAGAAGAACAAGGTAGTGTGTTGGGACTAGAGCCCTGCATGAATGGATTTAATGAATTATTTTAAATTTTTTGTTTTATAGGAATGAATTAATTAGAATTTTGAGTTTAATAGAATTGAATGAATGAATGAATGGCTTGAATTCCGAAATAATTCAAACGACAATTTCTTTTGAAGAAGAAAGGGCTATAATTTTGTGATAAAGTATGCATGCATTTTATTTTCTAAGCAGTTAACATTGATTTGTTAAAATTTTCCACTTTTTGTTCTCAAAAGAAAGTACAAACAAATTCTAGCAAATTCAAAAAATTCATAATAAATACATTCACTTCAAAATAATTTAGAAAAACATTCAATTTATTTCACATAGAATTGAATTAAACAAATCAGAAATTTCATGGCATACTATTGAATGATTGACTTGAAAAATTGAATGATTCACTTGGGATGTCGAAAAGGGAGTAAATCTCTTTAATTTAGTTAGGTACTGAAGATTCCATTTTAAAGAACTTTGAATTTTAAATTTCCTTTTACTCTTATATTTTGAGACATAGAACATATATAGGAATGCATTTGTACGCAGTTTTAAAATACCCTTTTAGTTTAGTATGGGATTCGGTTCTGAAAAGCATAACTTTTTAAGGTATTCAGCTGGGTAAAGGTGCCTCGTTTTAGTTACTTTTTCTAAGAAATACAACCAAAGATAAGATAAGACAAACTAGTTATTTATTTTCTGGTCAAGAATGACCAGTTATCCTGTTATATTTCGTTTTAATCCAAACATTTAATTAATTATATATTTATTTTAAACCCCTCTATCCCTCTAGATGCTGAAACGCCTCTCATACCCCTTGACCTGGGTGGAGGGATTGACCGGGGAGGGCGGAGCTGCGCAGCCCGGAGGCGTGGGCAGTGGTAGCCTGAACAAGTCGGGAGACACAGATTCGGCGCCCAACACGGGTGACTCCAATCAGAGTGTATTTTCGAAAGTATTCTCAAGGTGAGTCCATCCCGAACGCAATGAATTCACGCTTAGCGATCTCTGACTATAATTGGTATCAACAAATTTTGTTTATTTCGTTTCGAAAACTGAACAAAAACCGAAAAATCAAAATGCTTACCTTCGTTTTGTGCGGATCGGCTGCTTTGCTAAACATACATACTCCACTTATTCCGCTCATACCTTAACACTTCACAACCACACCACATGGCACAACACAACACGATACATAACACACAATATTTCACAAACTATATACACACACATGCATATAGCTCGCCCATTACTCTGGTGTCAGAGCTGGGCGGGAATCTATTTTCGAAAACACCGTCCGAGGACTCTGGTGGCTCACCTGTGCCGCCATTGACTCCGCACTCGACTCATTCCGAGGGTCATATGACCTATGGGTAAGGACGGATCTTGGATCAGCTGTCACCACTTTCTTGATGTGTTCTTGTTGCTCTTGTTGTTGCTAGTGATGTTGTAGTGTTGAATCGCAAAGAAGTACCTCAGTCCACCGAGCACATTCACCCATTTTTGGTTTCAAATAATTCATCAGCTTCATTTTTGAGTTCCAAGTGTAAATTTCGATCATCGTTCACATGTCGTTCTCCCTGTTCCAGCTTTAAATGATCTTTGCTAATTCTTTTGCTCTCTACCTCCCCAGACGTTCCTCAATCGGTACCTTTATACGTCCCCACTCATCGGAGGGCACTTCGTCCAGCACCAAGCTGAAGGAGGCCAAGCAGGCGCCCAAGCTGGACTATCGCTCCATGGTATCCATGGATGACAAGCCGGAACTCTTTATCAGTGTGGACAGTAAGAGGGATATTAACCGCGATCGATCAGAGGCTAATATTGTACTTTCCGCAGAACTCATCCCACGACCGGCCCGAGCCTGCCTTGACCCACCATTGTATCTGCGCCTGCGCATGGGCAAGCCCATCGGCAAGGCCATTCCGCTGCCAACCTCTGTCATGTCCTACGGCAAGAACAAGTTGCGCGCTGAGTATTGGTTCAGTGTGCCAAAGAATCGGTGAGTTCGAAGCCTTTTTCAATCTCGGAAGCGATTTATCGATGCAGTACATCCAGTATGTAACTGGAACACATATTAAGTTAATTGCAAAATGCTGCGAAATCGTATGCACCCTCACGGACAGTAATTATGCGCGAGCAGGCAATGCATGCAAGTTTGTCTGTTAGATAATATTAAAATTAATTTCTCGGAAACCGAAATTTCCCTAAAGCGATAAACCTTTAGCTGTAAATAGGTGCCTAATATTATTGCCTAACTTTAAAAACTAATAACATTTTTGGGCAAAAAATATATAGATTTTTGTGAGTTTATTTTATATTTATCTGTCTTTACATTTTAGCGTTGATGAGCTCTATCGCTTCATAAACACCTGGGTGAAACACCTGTACGGTGAGCTGGACGAAGAGCAGATCAAGGCGCGTGGCTTCGAGCTAATCCAGGAGGACACCGAGTGGACCAAGAGCGGCACCACAAAAGCCGGCATTGGAGGCGGCAGCCAGGATGGCGAGGAGATTAGCGACCTGACCCGCGAGTCCTGGGAGGTGAGTCCGAATCCATCCACGACCGCCCTGATTTGGGGCTCCCCATGCGCGACTATCTCTTTATCTATCTTTCCATATTGTTTAACTCTTTGCTCTGAGTTTTCTCCTCGAATTGTTCTATATTTTTCAACGAATCTCTCGAGCTCTTCCACGATATTTTTCAATTCTGAACCAAATCGAATATTACATTTGCTTCTTTAGGTTATGCCTCAGAAATCGATTTAACAATTACTAATTAATGAATTTTTTCGCCAAATTTTCTATACATACTTATATGATCGTAAATCTTGTTTACATTTTCTCCCCACGTGTATTGTACATGCGTTTTCTTGATCTTTTCTTGTTTTTCTTCTTCCTTTCGTGTCTTACAATTTGATTTGCGTTTATTTTCCAATCGAAATAATCCTAATATCGAATAAAATCGAACCAAAAACCAAAACTACAAACAATCACCATGAGTCTGTCAATTCGCCCCAATTTAATACTGAACCATATGATATTTAACCTCCTGCGACTACGACAGCTTATAAAGGCGCCGTTCGCCAAGACCTACAAGATCATTAAAACGGCATCGCATGCCGCATCGCATGACTTGGAAATGTTGGGCGGCGAGGTTAGGACCAAAAACCCTTTTATAAGAATTCTTCACCTAAACCTAACTGTGTTGTCCGCACCAAACTTAAACATAAAAAAAAAACCAAAAACACTTTTTGGAAATTGTGTGAAAATTTTGAATTTTTGCAAATTTGTATTTCGGTTTTTTGTTATTGTTTATTTTTAATAGTTTGTGCTCGCTGGTCTTTAGTTTTTGTTTCCGTAGTTTTAAATAACTGAACACTGTTGCACATTTTATTAGTTGTGTTTCTTCAACCCACCAAAAACAAAAAAATAAATTTTCTACAAAAATGTATGGCACCTTCTACAGCACTTGTTTGCGGCACTCGGCACTCAAGTCTTTCAGATATTTTCAGCACTTTTTTTCCACTTATCATTGGTTATTTATACATTCGGATCCCGATATCTACCGCATTGGTTCATCTGATTATCAAGCGAGCAGTTAAAATGCACTCCTTTGAAAAACCAACCACCTTTTGTTTAGATTGGCAAAGTTGAATTATTCCCATTTTCAATAAACATCTTAAATTCAAACATTTTCATTGCATTAAAAATTTAAGTCAAATTCTGGTTAACTAATTAAGACAAGGACAACAAAAAGAGGTGGTGAAGAACCAGCCAAAATTTCATACTTTAGACTCTAAAGTTTAAACAAGTGTTCAAATAACGAATCCCATCATATTATATATTGTCTGAGAACTTTTGAACCATGTATTCATTAAACAAAAAACCTTTCAAGACAAAGCTATAAAAAAGGAAGTACAAATATCTAATTCATCTTTTTAAAACGAGTTTACATACCTTTTCTGAACCGATTTCCATGACAAATATCTCATTTCCGATAACCTTTTTGTTTACTTCCATTGTAAGCCTAGAATGTATATAATTTAGCGATTCACTGAATATTTAGAAAAAAGGCCACTACATTATTTTTGCTCTTTATCGTCTCAAGAAACTCTTTTGGGGCTTCAATCACCCAAATACGAAGCAACCACAACGAATCATTTTGAGGCTTTATCATTACAGAAACATGGCCGTATTACCCAACCTAGCCTAACAGCCAACGTAACCCATTTACATGCGAAATATATACGACCACAGCTGAGAGCAGCCTTGCCGGCGATCGGCGTATATCACCTGGGAGCCGATCTAGAGCGGGCCCCTTGATATTCTGCCCCTTTCGAGCTAACCGCATTCTTCGTGTATCAACACAAAGCACCAAATTGATATGCTAATTAGCTGGGGTTCGACGGGGCTCTATTTCGCCATACTTAACATTTTAAAAGGCACCTGCTAGTGTGCAGACACATTTTAATTCATCAGCATTTTTACAACAATTAGCGCCTTTCGAGTATTTGTTTGCGCAATATTTACGGGCACGTTTTCACATTCCCGTAAGCGTGCCACCTCCAATTTTGGCATCACGATCGATGAGTAATTCGGTGGCTTTCAGGGACTGGGGCCAATGTTTGGGAAGGCACTGTTGCAAGCCCGCTTTGAGTTTCTCCTTATCGCCGAAATGGTCGATTTGCCTTCCTTATCAGCTACCAGAATAGCAATGCATCAGCAAATTGTTTCCTCATTAGCGTCGCATCAAAACATCTATAATCGTTAACAGAAAGCACAGAGCTATCAATAGATCTTGGCACTCAAGGGGTTATCGCTCAACAGATGGAATACCTATTAACAACTAAGGTTCGCTTCCGTTGCGGACTAAGTGTATAAAAACTTCCGCTGATACAAAATGCCCCCAAGCGGCCAAAGTGCCAAAAAAAAACATCCAAGAATGGCCACTCTCGATCACATCTCTGACGAAGATTTCTTTGTGTTTTGTATGGGTGAGCTTAAAGTGACAACAACTCAGAAAATGGCAAGCAATTGCGTAATACTTGAGCTTATCTTGAAATGGATTTGATGGATGAGCGTGGACGAAAATAAACCAGGATTGTGTATTATCTTAAAAAAGCAATATATTTTATTCGTCGAATTTTTTTGGCCTTTAACCTGATTTATTTTGAAATAAAATCTTCTTGTCTACTTTTAATTAAGAAAAAATTATTGTAACGAATGCAAGCAATTAAGATATCAGTAGTTATTTGAATCTGAGAAGAATCGATTAATTTGCGGCCTGCAAACATTTGAAATCTATTCGACATAACTTCATGAATGAAGCACAAATGTCTATGTTGGATTTGTATAACAGATGAGTTTCATGATCGTTATTTCCACGAACCGGTTGAGTTAGCTGTATTGCAGACTACTTGTGCCAAGATGAGCGCGTGCCTCGCATAAATCGTTTATTAAACTTGGTCGCTAGATGTTTCAATTAGAAATCGATTCAATTAAATCCTGTTCGAACACATGTCGCATCAGGGGAAGCTACACCTTACAGCCAACTACATTTAACTATATTCTAATTAAATCTAAATTAAATAAGTATTTAAAGCGCTCCACAGCGATTGTCATTTAGCCGGTTTCTGTTTTTTTTTGCTTTGTGAGTTGATTGGTGGGGTCTCATCACCGTCTATTTTTTTCGATTCTAAATCCGGTTCAGGTGAATAAAAATAGCAGAATAAAATAAAGAGAAAATGAAAACAAGTGATGCGCCTTACTTAAACGCTCAATTAGCGGAGGAAGATCGGACTACCGTGTGTTTCGGGGAGTGCAAATTTCTAAGCGGTAGTCCCCAAGTCACGCCCCCCAATTCCCAGGGGCCGCTGACGCCAGCCAAATCAACTTTGCCTCCAATTGCTAAACGCCTCTCGCCTATATACTATAAATAAACCAATAAACCATACATATGTTTGTAGGCCGGGTATTGTACTTGTACGATCAATTGGTTTCAATGAATTTTTGCGAACGAAGCTGGGAGGACAATTGGAATTGGATTGCTCAAAGGCCTCCTCGCATCTTCATCTCATCCCCACCCGAATCATCTTCTCAATTTGCATACCACTTTGCCAGCCTTTTTCCTCCCTATCTCCCGGGTTATCAAAAGAGCTCCCCCGCCACATTGTAAATGCACTTTTATATTAAATTGCGCACTTTATTATTGCAGTCCATAAACACTTGTAAAAAGGTTTTTTAGTATTCCTCCAGAATAATTTCATTTCTTACTCACATAACTTATGGGTCGGCGTGGGTGCGGCTTTGAATAATTAAGAAATGCTGAGGTGCTCGCAATGATCTTGTTTCAAAGTAAACTTTTGCTCGGGATAATATATTGAGAGACTCTTAAATGGTTTTATGTATCTCTGTTTTAAATGCCAGATCTTTTGGAATTCCAGCAGATGATCACAGTTATTTAACAATAATCTCAATATCTCATCGTAATGCATAATAATAATTTATCTTTGCTCTTTCAAACAGTATTTATTCATTCAAACATATGACAACCAGCATTAATTAAGTAATAATCGTAAATATCAATTAATACAAGCTTTTTCAACCAGTATTTATTTAATTTATCCAGTTTATTATGAATATAGAATAATAATAATTAATAGCGATTACAACTACTTTTTGTAAACTTTCACTTGATGAAGTAATAGATAGTAATGGTCATTATTGGATTAAAGTTGATAATAACGTTTGGTTACAAAGTCGCCTTTGCCTAAATTAGACATTTTTATATATTACAACGGGCTAATCTAGGTTTTCCTCGATTATAAATAAAACTATAAGTTACACAAAAAGGATCTTTAACCTGTTCACCATCTTGATTATTTCACAAATTACTTATTGTATCTGCGATGCGATCTAGAATTTTCCGTTTCGAACGGGGGTGTGTCGTAAAATCTTTGACAGGTGCATTCGGAAAATTTGTGCAACGGATTTGATTGCCTTTCAAGGAATGCATACAAATAAGTGTATGCACACATTTAGTAAGCCGCTAAAATGCTTCGTTTAAAAGCGGACAAAGCAAACAAATGGCAAGGCAATAAATGCATATAGGCGGTGTGCAATCGATTGATTAGCATGACAGTTAATATGTTTGCATAGCTGTAAAGCAAAGCGCAGGCAAACACCTGAAAAGCAATTACCGCGACGGGGGAAAGCGGGAAGCGGCTCTCAAAAAGAGCAGACTCAACCCATTGCATAACAAAGTTGAATAAAGAGTGGCTTTTCCAAAGAGGTTTTAATACAAATATTATATGAGTATGTCTACTAAGATATTATATAATTGTATATTACTAAAATATATAATTGTATAATTGTATACTAAAATATTATTTATATTTAACAAGCAGAAAACGTATTATTATTTAAATTTTAATAATAGCAATCTTGCCCTCTTTGTAGTAAATCCTGTGCATATTTATAGCCAGCCTAAAACAAACAAAAAAATTCTGGTGTTAATAATAATAATTTTTTTTAGCCAAGCCTCCTAATGCCCCGAAAAACCGCAAATTCTTTAGCACCCACATTTATGATGGTGTGGAACAGTCTTAAAAAAGAAAATTTACTACCCATTCATATCTGCATTCTTTGAAGACAAATTGTCATGTTTCGATCGGTTACTTCTAGTGAAACTACCTTAAGAATGTTAGGACTGAGCATCTTTGGCACCTCTGGTAGAAGAAAGCCTTTCCGATGAGGATGACTAGCCTAGTCGATCTATCCATGTCCGTCTGTCCGTTCGTATAACCGCTGAGATCTCGAAAACTTTAAAAGCTAGAAGGTTGGGATTAAGTGAGCATATTCTTGGAATTCCTGCGCAGCGCCAGTTTGTTTCATAGCGGTGCTACGCCTTAAACGACCTGAATTTACAACGCCCACATCTTTACAGATCTTAAAAAAGTGGAGATAATATTTTGTTTGGCTTTGTAATACCTACCAAAATGTTTTTTTAATCGAGCCACTCATTCAAAAGTTATGAACGAGCAATGCATTTTCCGATAAATGGAGCCACTTCTAGTGACTTCTTGCCTTGTTGCACATTTTTCTGAGATTTATGCTATGAAGCTGCCTTTTAGAAGGGCAAAAGAGTTGAAGAGT